ATTATAAAAAAATAATTGAACTAATATGAAGATATATTCTTCTATATCATACAAACATATCCAACTTTATTATGTAATTATGCCTACATTCTTACGCTGTGTCCAACGTGAACGGGGCGAACGCGGAGAGTGCGGGCGAATTATATTCTGACCAGCATGTTCCAAACAAGGCGAAAATCAAGCTGTTTTGTTTTTTGCCGCATTCGCCGCGTTCACGTTGGACCCAGGGTTAAGTTTGTTCGTCTGTTTTTTTTTTCATTCACATTTACATCTAGTTAAAAACATAAGTAATATAATATGTGAGTACACTATAATTTATAATAATATAGATTAATGTTAAGCTAAGGGCCAGTTGTACCTACGGTTAAACTACGATTAAGCTTAATCAGCTGATAACAGATATTTAACCGGGCAAATTCGGCCAATTAAACTCCGGTTAACTTTAATCAGATATGGTACAACTGGCCCTAATAGCTAAGTTGTCGAAGCAAAATAAACATAATTTTTAAAAAATAATAATAATAAAGTAGTAATAAATACAGCCATATACATTATACGTACCTACTACATAATATCACTGTTTATTAATTGAAATAAATGAATCTAATTGAGTTCAATGAATCTACTGTCCAGGTAATAATGACAAAAGAAAAATATATATTGTTGTTATACATTTACAATTCAGATAGTTAATAATATTTTTTTAAATGTTAGGTAAATTAAATTAAATTACAAAGTTATTATTTTTTACATTTAATAGTAGTAATATAATATATATATATATATATATATATGTATATATGTAAATATATGGACAATTATTACTTCCTTTGATGTCAGCTTCTCAGCTAAGCATTTAGCTACGGCTCATTCTTCCGAGTCATGTGATGTGATTTCTTTAAAATATCTGGATATTTATATTATGAATCAGTTTTTTATATACCTGGGAAATTGAATAAGCTCCGTTTCGAACAACACCAAAAATTAACAAACATAGGTAGTTTTTTTTTTAATTTGTTGAATCGTATATGGTGTATGAATAGTGAATATAAATATAAACATTTTATTATTTGGTTTTTGTTTGACCAAAATAATAATATTAACTTCAACCATAGTAATTTTAGGTATAGCAAATAAATTATAAATTAAGAAATTTTAACAACGATCTTACAGTGCGTGAAGTATAGAATAAGATAATTATATCAAACACACGTTATTAAACTGTTTGTCGGGCTTGTCATTTAGAGTTGTAAAGTTACATTTTTATTTCCCAGTGGAAACTATATTTTAGATATACAAGTAACGAGGTTTTATGTAGGTAAGCTATTAGACTCAGGATCAAAAATTAAGGTGGAAAATAATACGGTATTTTAGATATAAACGTAATTACTCGTGTGTAAATTTTTTTTTTTGTAAAAATTACATTTGGTAGACAATTTTTTTACGAGATAAGCCTATTTTACTTTGTGGATTTTTCCAGGACATTTTTACCTTGGCCATATTACTGATTTCCGAGTTCGTTTTACCTACTCATACTATTTATACATATAAATCATATATAGTTTGATAATTGCATTATTAAAATATACATTTATCAGCAAAAAAACAATTTATTATTTTTATTATAAGAACACTGCCTAATATCTATTAACAAATTATACACTATACATCTAGTCAAAAATTATTATAATTGTGAAACTGATGTATTCATATAAGAATAATAAAATGTTTATTAAGTTAAATTTAAAAATTAAATCAAATTTATTCATAATAATTTAATAAAACGCATATTTTTATTAATTTATAACTATAAAATTGGTTTCATTTCAGTAAAATTATTAAAAAATTCCTTATTAAAAAAACATACACGTGTCTAGTACTAAAAATATATTAGGTACGTTTTTGAGAGATTTTTTTTTATTTTTACATTTGGTAGCTTTTGTATCAACTCTATTTACTTTTATTTATTTTTGCAATGCTACTTTATAGTTTACTTTTCCTCTGTAATTCTAAAATAAATTAAAACGTCTTATGTTTGATACTGTGGTAGGTAATCATTTGAAATAAGATATCACTTGAAATTTAGGTGCCTATAGTTATTTAGAAAACAATTAATTATAAAACCAAATTTATTTTTAGTTAATTATGATTTATGAATCATACATTATTACAATATATACATTAATGATACAATATTCAATTTTAATCTCTTTGCTCAAATGATAAGTCTGAATAATTAAACATTTTAATTTTAATTGTCCTTTGACAATAAAAGTTATTATACATTTTTAATTACATAGGTGTATTTTAAGCAAATTAGGTATTTGTTTTTATTATTATTCAAGTCAATATAGTAGCAAAGTTATTTCTCATTAAAATATATATTATTAATGTCTTATGTATAACAATTAATAATCATGGTATAACTAATAATATTATGTTTGTATAGTTATCTCATTGTAACATGCGAAAAATCACACTAAGTAATCTCACGTTGCAAACTAGTGGTATATATCGATGTGAAGTCTCGACAGATGGACCAAAATTTGAAATGGTTTTTAAGTCCGCGAACATGAATGTATTAGGTAAATATTACAACATATTGATAAATTACATTTTTGTAAATATAAATAATATGACTATAAAAATATTTTTGTACTTAACACTTACGTAATTAATAAGAAGTGGACAAGTATGTATCTATAACGCTCTGCTTTACAATATTGGTATCGAGTGTATACCTCATCATTGAGTAGGTTACTGTCATAAATGTGTTAAATTTAAATCCAGAGATAAATTATTATATGCAAAAAAACGATTCTGATACAAAATATTTTAAAAGTTATACCCTGTACAGAAAACGCTAATATAAACATTTGGAAAAAATATCAAGTATCTACAGTTGTTTGTTTTTGATTTGCAACAAAATCTAATTTACCCAAAAGTGGTTGTTCATAAAAAAATCCCATGTATCCCTAATTGTTGTTGATTTTCCAAACTATTAAGAAAAGTACTGGGAAATTTTGCTTTTGACAAAAAGTTAGTACAATTTTTAAAATTTACATTTTAAGCCTGGCTCACGCAGTAGGATTTGTTGGCCCACGAAAAACTGTTAGGTACTGAAAATAAAATATCTAGTTATTATTACCTATTGGATATAATTTTAGACCTGTATTTTAAACTTGGTCAAAACCACCCAAATAACTGTGAAAAAAAGAGTTTAGGACACTCCAGCTTAAGTAAATCCACTGACATTAACAAGGTTCAGTTAGTATAAAGGATTTATATTACTTGCTTCCCGTAAGATTGTTGATAAGAATTTCTGATACTATTAAGGTAGGTATGTGTCTTACCGCGATTAAAGATATCTTTAATCGTGTGTCTTACTATGATGAAACTTACCTTTCATATTGAAATTACCATATTGATATAATTTGATAAAATTATAGGAGTGATGAGACAGAATGATGCAATTCAATTTATTGATACTCTTAGTTAAATAATTTAACTAAAGAGATATTAATATTTTGATATTCATAACTATAATGATTGTCATACATTTTTATCCAATATTAACAATGTACAACATTTTTTAAATTATTAAATACGACAATTTATACATACCTACCTATATGGCTATATAAATATTAAATATGTTACTAACTAGGTACTTATGTACAATTATTTCAATACCGTCATTTTTGAATTTCGATACGAAATTAACTTTCTGGACAAATAACCCGTCAATAAATATGACCAACAGTTAATTTTCTTCCAAACACATATAAGTTATCTGCTCTTATCAAATTTAGAAGCAAGTAGTTTGCACCTAGTACCTATAAAATATAATAATCTAAGATCATATTAATATAATAATATAAGTAACATTTTAAAATGATCTCAAAAATATTTCTGAATTACAACAAATTAACTAAAATTCTGACCAATTTTGACCAAATTTGAATTTGAAATACTTATAAAAAATATCATGTACTTATACCGTATATATTTACTTATATACTGTTATACTCTTATACTCTTATACTCTTATACTGTTATACTGTATATATTTTTTAATTTGTCTAGTAGGAATTACTTATGAGGAACTTGTTTTAAATTGTCAAGTTTTTGCCATTAAAATTTGATCGTTTTATACATTTCAAACTAAAAAAAAAATTTGAAAAAGAAACGTGCCTATGTGTTTAATATTTTTAAAAAGCTACAACAAAAATTTATGAGGAACCTAGCATTAAAATTTCTAGTTTTCTCATATTATTTTGAATGGTAATATTAATAAAATAAAATTCTTATCTCAACGATTTTGAATTTAAAACGAAATCCATCAATATAAAAATTATTAAATTCACAGCCTGCCAGTTTATACGTAAATTATTAAAAAATTTTTAAATTTAAAAATATTTGGCCACATATCACAATTTGTTTTCATAAACTTTCAAAAACTATCATCTAATTTTCATTTAGAATTGTATGGGTGTGTAAAAAAACCCATATTTAGATTCTGAAGGTAGTATTACTTTAACATATTCTTAATGACCAAACGAGATTATCGATTATCCGTCAAACGATTGAACCAATTTTATATGTAATCAATTTGTACATTTTAAAAAATGTATTTTCTTTTTTCATTAGAATAAAAAAAAATATTATAATACTAGATATATTTAATATCCATATAATATGTACTTAGTAAATAAAATGTTTCGAAATGAATAATTTTCGTATGTACCTACCTAGACATGAATGTCTTTAAAATTTGACATTTTCAATTGTGTTTAACTATAAACTATAGTCTATATAGGTATATTTAGGTACCTATAATATCATAACTATAACATATAGTTTGGCATTTTCATTGTACAGCTATTCGATTTCATTTTTAGTTAAACAGTATCTAAAATATTATTGTTTACACGAAACTATATATATACAAATAATACCAAAAGATCGATATATAAAAATGATTAATGTAATAATAAATGATGTTGTTGACAGAATATCCGGAAGGGAACCCTTTGATAGAGGGTGTGCTTAATCGTTACGCGGTTGGCGATCTCTTGTCGGGAAATTGCACTTCCTCCAAATCGTATCCGCAGCCGTTGATGACGTGGTACGTCAATGGCATTCAGGTGAGTTCATGAATATTAGTAGAAAATTAATATCTTAAACTTAAATTAGATTAAATTACATTAATTTTAAACAACACGTCATACGACACTAAATTATACTTTCTGAATAATTCAAAGTATAAATGTTAATTCATAAAAGCAAGTATACCTATATTTGCTATAGGAAGTCGTAGTCATAGTTAAGCCATTGTATATAGGTAGGTGTTCAAATTATATTTAAATTGTCTTCAAAAGTTGCTTATGATACATTAAAGTATTATTTATAAAATAAAAAAAAAATACAAACTGCAACCGTATTGCTTCGTATAAAAAAATATATTTATATTTATATTAAAAATAAATAAATTAGTAGGTATTTTCAATCTGTAATCTAATTTGTGTACAATAAGTAAATTTAATAAACTTTAATATACAAAAACATAAAATGAAATGAGGACTGAAACCCACCAACGAGAGAACCCTCGGACTTAGGGTGGACGAGGTTGGAGATTTTCTGATTTATTCAATAGAACTCTAGATCTAGATCAACGGATTTAAGAGATCCCGACCAGTGTTTTTTTAATAGATATGGGGGATTTTCGGAAATACACATTTCACTGGCTAAGGTAGAAACTAGTGGATTTGTGTGGTTGTTTGATTTAGTGTGGATTTTTTCGTAGTAGTATTATAGCTGTGGCCGAAACTGTTTCGATTTTTAAATCTTTGTGCTGTGCAGTTCCATGGCGCAGATGTTATTTGATGAATTGAAACTGAGAAGGCCGTAGTTTTGTATTTGAGAAGGATTAGCACATTTCCATATAATAATGCCATATAAGGCAAGATAGGCGTTTTAGCATTGATTTATATATTAATAATTTATTGTTAATAATTGAGAGTTTTTATTTGAGAATCGGGCGTATTTAGCGTATAAAAAAGTCTGGTGTTTAGCTCATTTCTTTTGGTTTTTAAATGCAGACCATATATTAAAGTTGTCTAAAGTTAGACCAAAACATTTGCAGGTTTGAATTGTAGTTGGTATTGGATCTATCAACATCAACTTCAATTTCAACATAAACTTCAAATTCAATTTCAACTTCAATTTACCTAACCTCAAATAATATTTCTGGATGGTTTTTGTTTGGTTATAAATATATTATTTTTATTATTATAGTAGGTACTATTAAGTATTAGTGTTCACTGAATTAAATATCCAATGATCATGAGTAATGAGTAATGACCAACAATTAATTATTATGGACATTGAATTATTTATTGATTAGTATACCTAATACTATAATATGTACTATGTGCTTACATTTATTTCTTAAATCTGATACATTTATTTATATTAACTTTTTATTCATAATATTATATCGCTCATTAATATATTATTATTTCAAGTATTTGGCATTCATGCTTAGGTACTTTAATGTTAAAAATAATATTTAAATAGTGTTTATTGAACTTGTTAGCAGTGGTCCAAATGGCTCAAGATAAGTGGAGGGATGCCTTACACTGCAGATTTCCTGATATCACCATAACATTCTTCTATTCCTCATCTAACAAAAAAGTAGAGCGATCCCTCTGTACCCCCCCCCCCACTTCAAGCACTGCTTGTTAAGATAATACGTAGGTATTTGTGGATGTATGTTCGAAAAAGAAGATTGTTTCTATATTATTATAGTTATATAATAGGTGCAGTTGGAGAGTGGGCGCTAGTGGGTATTTAAAAAAGTACCTAGTAGCAGCTATACCAAAAATTATAATAATAATTTGGTATTACGTTTATGAACGATGTGGATGGCTACAGTATACCATATGTTATGAAATGTATAATTAATATGAGTTTGGGAGGTAAACACATTCCAAATGTGTGGGGCTGGTTGCTTGGGAGAAACATTACATTTTTTTTTATAGCAAGAGGAAACCCAGAAGGCCAGATACTCTATAAACTACTTACTTACATCACATACATGCACATTTAGGGAAATAATACAATTTGCTATTTATAAAAACCACAACTCTCAGTTACCAAAATACTTTTTGTATAACTTATACAAAAAAATATGATATAATATCCAAATTTTCACTTTGGAACTTATATAATACTAAAACCATTAATTTGTATTTCATTGTTAACAAAATATTTATGAATAATGCAGAACTCGATTCATTTTTTTCATCAAGTATCTTATTGCATGCAAAATCAACAAAATAATATTGTATTTTAATATTGTTAAAACAAATAAATTTGGATAAAAATTGTATTTATATTTATTTTATTTGATATAGGCGAGCAATAATCAAATGGAGAATTATCCCGTGTTGGTCAATCCTGAAGGCCCTTTATATTCAAAAGCGGTAGGCATTCGATTTAAGGTATGAATTTAAATATATTTATACTTTTTCAATATTCATTATATTTTAGTGAACAAAATGTTCTAGCTTTGAGTAATCAATTCCTCACTTCAAATATAATTTCATTGCTTCGAATACAACATCTCAACTAAAAGCACAACTTATTTCCTCTCTTCTATATAAAATTACTTAGCTTCGAAACAATACAATATCCTTGTGCGAAATTTCATGTCTCAACTCTCAAGCGAGGTAATTGTGTTAAATTGTGAGGAAATTTTATGTTTGGAGAGAAAAGTATGCTGTTAGCAAATACATGGATATTTGATGGGAGTGAGTTAGTTCTGTTTAGATCAGGATGCATTGTTTTGTTCAAAGAGATAAAAATGTTGATGTTAGTGAGATACATTTTCCATGGGAGAAAGTTGTATGTTTGAAGCGATAAAATGTTGCTCAAAACTAGGAAATTTTATTCCTAGGTTCGAGCAAAATGCTTCTTTGCTTCGAAAATGATTTCATCTCATTTTGTACCTACAATTTTCTCGCTCTGAACATAGTTTTTCTCTTCGTACAAACAATTCCTCACTGTGAAAATAATAGCATTACTTCCGGCTTCGAATACAATAATTGCCTCAAAAAAATGCTGCACTTTGAATAAACTATAGGTCCTTGCCTCGATCATACGTTATCACCACTTCCATCAACAATTCATCGTTTCAAACATGATATTTCCTTCCTTTGAAATTGGATATTAACACGCAATAAATTAATATATTTCTACCTCGAATCTAAATAACATTGAGTTAAAAAAATTAACAATTGCAAACTATTTTCGATTAAAAATAAACATTTTTGTTTTCAAACACCTAGACCTGAAAATTGAATAGGTAACAAGCTTTAGTTTAAAGTTATTATTAATGATTTATCAATTTTTTGTTGTTAAAATTGTGCATAATTTGTAATGAACACCTAAAAATGAAAATTATTATTTATTACTGAAATATTATACATACAATATAACAAATAAAACAAGCTCAACGAAAAAAATTTCGCAAACAAAAAGTTAGCAAATATTTTATATCAAACATTAGGCTCAGTTTATTTTCCATCCTATAATTTAATAAATTAGTGTCCAGTTATGGCACATGATGTATAATTATTTAAATAGTTAATGATTATTTGTTTATTATAATTGGTCGAACAGCCCAATAAACAGCTATAGAGATCGATATTTTTGATGTCTCCCACTTTCATTATGATGCTTATAAATGTATATTATATATTTTAAGACTTAAGTGATACTATTATGATGACATTGAGATAATATTGTAGTAAAATGTTATAATTTATAAATTTATTCACCAATAAGTCTAGAAAAACCAGTGATATTTAACAATTGTACATAATTGTTTTAATATATAATATAGTTTTAGTGTTTTACTAAAGAATAATATAAAATTAGGTGGAGAAAGATCATTTTCAAGGACCCAATGAAGAGCTGGATTTAACTTGTGAAGCAAGCCTCATACAAGAACAATTGAAATGGCGAAAAATGATAGTTATTCAATCACTCACACAGTCATATACAGAAAATATGTTTCTAGAGAAGTACAGAAATAACATAAATACAATAAATCCTGGTAAGTACATTATTTAAATCGTTATTTATTATTAAATTATATTTATAATGAAAAATGATTAGAGTTTATTTTGTTAACAGGGAAACATATATCGACTCTGGTAGCGCTTTTTGTAGCATCATTCACACATATGATAGTACACGAGACGTGACAGAACCCCGTTAATTGTATAATATGTACAGATATGTAAATTAACATTTTTTCATAATAAACTAACAAAATTGAAGCACTTATTTTTTTCTTTGCATCAAAATCTTTTAAACGTTCATATAATAATTACATATTATTAGAAGCAAACGTACAACAAAAAACTCGATCAAACCTTTATTATAGGTAGATTATAGGTAGGTACATGCAAATATAATAGGTACCTATGATATTGATTATTGATTAAGAATTTATGTTTTCCACTTTGAAGTTTACCGATTTCAATTCGTATTTCTTCTTTTATTTTTTATTTTTCACGCTAACTCAATGTATAAAAATGGTTTCAATAAAATCTACCAACATAAAAGTAGTTTTATGATAATAATTAATCAATTTAAACACATTTATTAATGAATATACAATTTTAAAAAGCCAAAATATGAACTAAAGTATTAATTCAACATTTAAAGGATGAATTACAATTATGTATGTATGTATTATTTGATTGTACTTTATATTACAAGAATACATTTTAATTTTAAAGTTGTGGCCGACGAGCATTTTAGAAAACGTTTCCCATTTTTGACGCAATTGAAAACACTGTAAACAAATTTTTGTTTTTTGTTATTTGCAAGAGAATAAACCCCTTTTTAATTTGTTTTTTTGCATTCTAACTCAAGTTGTAACTTCCTCTCACCATCCTGTCATTTACATTTTCTCATTTATAACCATCGTTGGCCACCGAATGTTAAAATTCGGTCGAGAAGACAAAAACAACAGGACAAATCGCATTAAAAACATTTCTAACGAGCTACCGAGAATATCCCGAGCTAAAGGATGTGGAGGAGAGGAACATTCCTCTGGATCGGCTCAAACTCGATAGCGACCGCAATAACTTTATTTAATTATATTATATAGACGAGTTTTATACACTTGGTTCGTCATATATTTGATGTATCTTTGTAATTGTACACACTTAATACTATGTAAATTGTTTGAAAAATACAAATTTCGTTTGGAGTAGGTAACATTGTAATAGTAAATACCGAAATATTCATGATTAAAATTTATCAAGAAACGTATTCAACAATGGTGGATAAAAATAATCTTTGTTTTAATAAATTGTAATAATTAAAAATAAAGTATAGATTTGTATTCTTTAATAAAACAAACTTTGTTTATAAATTATTTGAATTAAGTACTTACATATTTTAATCTCTAATAGTTATAGTATTATAATTTATAAGTTTTCTTATTTAAACTTCTACAAGATAAATTTAATTTAATTAAAATATAAAATCAAATAATAGTTATCAGAACAGTTGGTAGGACGTTGCAGGAATGATATAATATAATATACTAGCCGACTCTGGACCCGAAAATGCTTTGCTAGTATGCTAGGTTGCAGTATACCAAAAAACATATCTATGATTCCTCAATATTCCTTGCAGAGGCAAAATATCTAGTAGCATGCTTCTATTATAATATATAGGTACCTACGAATGGCATTTTAATATTTTATTAGACTAAAAAGATAAAAATTAAATTTTGTTTATGCCGAAAATGGTTTTATTTACGGAGTGGCCGAGCGGACTAAGGTGGCGGAATTTTTCTTCGGGCAGTCACGGTGTCCGGAGAGAGAAGCCTCCATCCCCCACCCTGGCATGGCAGATAACCATGACTGAGACACGATTGAGCATAAAACACCTTTTTTGTGACACGATTGAGCAAAATTGTCGGAGTATCAAAGGAAATCGGAATACAAAAGAAACCCTACACGATTGAGCATAAAAAACTCTGCAACGTTGCCATATTACATTTTATATACTTTTACACTATACCTACCTATTATACAAAAATATTTATTTAAATAATTATAACATATCAAAAAAAAAACATGATTTCATAGTCAATTATTATATAGTCACATTTCATAAATCTGTTTGATGATGATAATGATGATAATAATAATAGTTATAATATGAAAATAATAAAATTAAAGTATGGTACGAATTAAAAAAAAATAATGTATGGTTTATAAGTTAAGAATACTATAATACCTAGAGTATGGGTGATCAAACACTGATATTATTTCTATAATAATTTTGGAATAGTATTAATTTTTTTAACTTTATTGATCCAGAACTAACTTATTAATCGATAACACTGTCGATAAAGTTGGGCTCAGCTCACAGCTCGCGTCTGGTATCATAATAATATTGATGTAATAATACGTTAAAATAATAAATTATAATATGTTGGCCACTTGAATGTGCCAACATCGAAAAAAATATTCTATGCTCAATCGTGTTGCTAAAAAGGTATACTTATGCTCAATCGTGCTTTACCGATACTTACGCGTTCAAAACAAATCAAAATATTTTGAAAATGTTATCATGTTTAAAAAATGCTAGTAACATTCAATAAAAATGTAATGTAGTTATCTACGGTCATTCGTTTTAAAGTTACACCAAAAACCAAAATCGATTAAAAACTCCCGTTTTTCCTTCATTTTTCTTTTGTTTTTCACGGTACTTTTGAAAACTACTGGAAAACTTTTGACCCCCCCCCCCCCCCCCCAAAAGTACCAACTAGATTTACTTTCCTATCAGAAAATAATAAAAGATACTGTTTAAGAAAATCTAAACACTTTTAATGTCCTAAAAGGTGATGACAGACACAAACAATTTTTTTTTTTTAAATAAAAAAACACACATCATTCTAAAATCAATAAATTCATTGTTCCACCCAGAATGTAAAATAATAGGTACCTTTGAAGTTTGAAATGTATATTATTTAAAGGTTTAGATATATTATACAAAATTGCAGATCTTTCCCCTCAGACTGATAAAAACAACGTATATTTTGATCGACTGAGGAGCGAGTATTTCAAGGGAGGTCTGGGAATAAAAATTAGCCCCGGGGAGACTGAAAGTTTGGCCCAATTTTGGGTTAGTAAAATATTTATAAGTTATCGGCCCAAATTTATTCAAGCAGCCTATATTTTCGCCAGGCCCAGGAGGGGATCACCCACCCACCACCTTAGCCAACCCACCTCTGTTCCGGACGCACTCGGAACATTAAATAACGGTAATTTCGGGACTCACCCAGGAAACTCTATATATCATGCTGCTATCTGCAATCTGCTTACCTGTTGCAATACATAAACGGGTGCATAGGTATTAAAAAAATGGTGCAAATTACAATTCCTATTTCTTACTACCTGAGGATGGTGCAAATTACATGTTATCCTTATTTTGGAGCAAATTACAAACACTACTTTCGAGTTTCGACTATAGATACCTGCAGTGGTGCAAATTACATATCTTTAATTTGGGGCTAATTACAAACTCTCGTAAACTCCGCCACTAGAACCTTTTTTTAGTGTAAACTCCGGCAGGAAAATGAAACAGGTAAAATTGGGTTTATGTAAATTCCGCCAGTGACAAAAATCCGGTAAAATTGAGTTCATGTAAACTCCGCCAGTTAAAAAACACCAAGTAACAGTATACACTATAAAATTAATATAATACCTCCACAGATTATTATTAAACAAAAAATCATGATTTTATAATAAAAATTATCCTTATTAAATAAGTATATGCCAAAAAATATAAAAAAACTTAAAAATAAAAATAATAATTGTTCGAACAAATCATACAAATTGCAATGGCCTGCAGTATCTACCTATTATGCTAAGAAATAATGATAGACAACTTTTAATAACTAATAATCAAAAAAATATGTTGGTAGGTATATTATATTATTATGATTTATGACATTATATATGTTATAACTTATAACTTATAATATTTTGAACTATGAACGAAAATTATGAGATACAATTTGTAGATATATAAATATATTCAAACCATTAAGTCTCATATAAATCCATTATTATAACTAGGTATTTAGTATTTATAATTTATAGCTTTCTCTAACACAATATTTTTTTTTTCATTTTGAATTTTTGAGTTTACTTAGTAGAGAAAACCCATTTAGTTTTACATAAGGTCCGATAAGTAAGGCCTTAATACTAGGGGAGTTTCCATATACCTATTCCAGATAAGAAAATAAAACTGGCAGAGTTTACAATGGCCCACATAAACATAGAACATTATTGGGTATAGGCCCAAAAACAAAAAAGATACGATGTTTTCGACAAATATTATTTGGTAACCATAATGTATACAAAGTTTAAATGTAATTGACTCTTTCCGTGAAACCTGCGCTATTTATAGAGTGCAGAGCACCGCCACGGAACGAACGCCACTACCCAGTGGCGTATTTAGGAGAGCAATTTGTCCGGGCAGCAAATTTTTGTGGGAGCTTTTTTTTGAAAACAGATTTACAATGATTTAGGGCCGTTCTTACGACGTCCGGTTAAAGTTAACCGACACTTAACCGGAAGAATTCTGCCGGTAATAAAATCTGTTATCAGTCGGTTAGCGTTAACCGACACTTTACCGGACATTGTAAGAACGGCCCTTAGTCAGTTCAATTTATACAAAACGTTAAACTAATATTTAAATATAATCAAAGAGATTCTGTGCAATCAATCTTCACATCTGATAATATATATTATACCCGCCCGTATTGGTTTGTCATCGAATACCTAAACCTATAGTTCTGCGCCTAAATTAAACATTTCTAGTGGGCTATAGCCTATAGGCTATCATGCCTGTAACATCGTACTCTCAGTACAACAGGGCTGTATATCAAAAAAATTTTTTAAAAAAAACACACACCATTGTAAATACAATACACTCATACGCTCCGCTCAGAATCTAGAAGGTATATTGTACAGAAGAGCGTTTTTAACATTTAATAGCTAACAGACTATAGTAATTTTGTAAGTTATCCACATATAAGTATACCTAATACGTTGTATTTGAAAAATTCTTGTAAATTTGATTATTATGCACTTTTTAAAAACTTAAAGTTACCAGAAATAGTATTTTCTTATAAAATATTTTTTGCCAGAAAGGGCATTAAAAAAAAGGTGGGCAAGTGGGTGTCGCTCTGCTGTACAGTAGGTTACAAGTGGGTCACTGTATAATGGATGATATTAAATTTGAATTCAACGATATAATATCATTGTATAAGAAAAACGATTCTGAGCGGAGACAGTATGTCAGTCTAGGTATAAGACATATTAGATACATTATACATATCTATGGTACTAAACCAAAATTTGACCTATAATAGGTAGGTACCTATAATAAATTCCAAAATTAATCATATCAAAATATCCATTAGGTACTTATAACGCGTTATACATCAACAAAAACCGTGATACTATCATAGATATATAATAGTACACTTTAGAAGTTTCAAGTATCCACGAATAATATTATTCAATCGCAACAAAATAACTAAAATAGTTATTCTAGGTTTTTTAATATGTAATTTCGTCCAAATTTGAATTTAAAATGTCTGTAAAAAATAACTGTGTTCATATATTTTTTAGATGTTTTGGTTACAGTATGAACTATTTACGAGAACCTTTGTATTGAATTTGCAATCCTTAACTATAAAAACTGAACATTTTATAATTTATTAATTACAATGATTGATAATTTTCGAGATTTTGATAAATTTTGTCAAAATTCGATCTTTAAATGCTTATAAAAAAAAACTGTGCATATGTATTTTTAATATTTTTCAACTGCTATTGTAATAATATATCAGGAGCCTTGTATTAAATGTTTACACTTTTTGGCCCAACAGATAAAACTTTATTGATATTTATAGAAAAAAAACTAAAAAAAATTGAAAGCTGTAAATGTCCATAAACAGCTCAAAAAGAGTCAAAATATTTTCAAAATTGTATGGTGTATAGAAAATGCTAATTTAAACATTCAGTGAAATTTTCATGTATCTACAGTTTTTCGTTTTTGAATTGCAACAAAATAAGGAAATCGCTACATGAGTAATCGAGTCAAAATCCAATGTTGTAAAAATTTGAATTTCAAACGCTCATAAAAATTTAATTTGACTGTCCGGTAGAGATTTTTTTATTGATAAAGGTAGATAACCTTATAAGGAATCTTGTGTTTCATTTTCAAATCTTAGATTTAAAAAGAAAAATTTTTACGAATTCTTAACTCAAAATAATTTGCTAATTTTCGTGATTTTTCCATATTTTGTCAATTTTTGAACTTTAAATGCTTATAAAAAAAATTGTGACTAAGGATTTTTAACATTTTTCATCTGCCTTTGAAACAATATATTAGGAGCCTTCTTTTAAATTTTCAAGCTTTCGCAACCAACAAATAAAATTTTATTGATATTTATAGAAAAAAAACTAAAAAAAAATGGAAAATGAAAATGTCCCTAAACAGTTCAAAATAAATCAAAATATTTTGAAAATGTTATCGTGTATAGAAAATGCAAATATAAACAACCAGTGAAAATTGCATGTATATACGTTCATTTGTTTTAGAGTTACACCAATAACCAAAATCGATTTTTTGGAAAACCAATTTTGCGTAAAAATTCCCGTTTTTCCTTAATTTTTATGTTGTTTTTCCCGGCGCTTGTGAAAACTACTGGGAAATTTATACTTTTGACCCCCCAAAGTACCAACTAGATTCACTTTCCTATCAGAAAAGCTACTGATGAAGAAAATCCAAGCACTTTTACTGTCCTAAAACGTGATGACAGACACAAAAAAAAAAAAATATAAACATGCATCATTGTAAAACCAATACATTCATCGCTCCGCTCAGAATCTAAAATGTGTATCCGGGACAGCAAAATCCTAAATATGCCGCTGCTACTACTTACACTCAAATTATAGTAACAAACAAATTAATTTCTTGAATATATCTTTATTAAATTTATAAAATATATTGTACTATCACAATATCAATATGTCAAAATATATTTATTTTACTTCAATACTTTGACAATATTACTTAAAATTATAAATTAACAGTTTTTAGAAAAAAAAAACGTTGGCTAGCATAAAAAAAATTAATAGGTACTGCCTCAGTTATTATAATTATAATAATGAATAATTTCCAATATATACAATTTTGCAGTACAAAAAGTTCTTAAATATTTCAATATTTTTAAATATAAAATAATGCTAGAAGAAACATGATAAATAAAAAAGTAGGTTTAATAATATTAAATTATGACATGACCTAAATTGATGATTTGTATTAAACAATTGGGAAATGTTATATTTTTTTTTAAAATCGACTATAAAATGGTTCAATTTTGAAATACATTAAGACAAAGTATAAATTAAGATAAATAATATTTCAATTAGCCTTAATACTGTATTTCTACAATAATGAGCAATACCGTAATTTTTGAAAAAATGTTATACAAGCTCAAGGATTAATCAATTGTCATTATTTCTATAACTATCTAAAATCTTAAGCTTGGTTTATACTTCAATATGTGTCTGAAAAAAAAATAAACATGTTGATATTAAAAACAAAGAATTCTAAATACTGTACATCTTATTTTATAGTTAAGTAATTTATAGATTTACATTAATATTACTAGGCATTGTATTAATAAATGGCACATTTTTTTTTTGGCATTTAATGGGAAAACCAAAAAAACATGTAACTTTTGTACTTTTAATGGAACTTGGTTCTAGGAGTGTAATGTTAAATTGTTTTTATTTAATTAGGTTATAGATATTTATCTGATACAAAGATTTTATTTTAAATAATATTACACGGAAATGAAAAAGAATAGAACGCTATTCAAAATAAGACCGTGACAGAGCAGCAACCAGTTTTTGTCAGGCGGCAGTCAGACTCCATCCATGAGCATCGAGCACGTGACCATAGAACAATACGTGAAACAATGACGTGACCGAGACTCAGTGGCTTTTGCACGCCGAGTGAGGTTTATGTGCATGCGTGCAAGCGACATGCGTACCAAGCTAGGTTAATTCAAATGTGTGTACGCGCAATGCATTTTAAATTATTTGAACACATCGGCAGTTGATACTAGACTAATTAGCGCTCTCATTGGCGGTGTTGCGTCTGGAGCTACCACTTGAACAAAAATAGAACATAATATTATATCAAACCTGTCCAATTTTTCCCAGAATACCATAAGGGTTGCTCTGTCTAAATGACGCCGGGTTCTTGATATTTGTAAAACATTAACAGCCCATTTGGCCACATTTGTATCCAACTTCATTTCATCAAATTTTAAATGAAATGCACATACTGAAAATTATACAATGTAATTAATTTTGTTTTGGATATAATCTTTTATTATATTATTCCTAAGCTTTTTTGATTTATTTTATTATGATTTTTTAAACTAAAAGTTATTTTTTTACTTAATTAAAGATTCAATAATGTATTATAGTATATTATAATATGTAACTTAAATTTTTCTCTAATTTATAATTATTTAGATTTCATAAAATCTATACAAAATGTACAATAATAACTAATTTATAGGTATCAATAAATAGCTATGTGTCAAACAAATTAAATTTTTAACATCAACAGTATCTAAATTTAACTTTTTTATAGGTACTTTCATAAATCCAATTTAAACTTAATTGTCTATTTAGATTAGGTATGTAGAAGTCTTCCTAAACTAAGTTCCACTTTTTGATTATTTAAATTAATGAATGCAAATACTTAACCATTTATGATGACTAAAAAGTAAAGTTAAATAAAAGTTGAAACCATGTAACGTTTGTCATGATTTAACAAATCGAGTGGCTCAAAAAATTTTAGGAGACCTTCCTCTCATAATATTGTTATATCAACCTATAAAATGTCCAATTTTTTTCTTCCATCAATACCCACCCACCAATATTTAAGGTATTTTCTAAACAATACTTGGACCCTATGTTACACCCCACTGAAATCATGGATATAAATATATAAAATAATATTTACTTTTAGAAAAAATTTCTACAGGATTGCCATCCCATGGCCATCCTTTAAACTGCCATGCTGGTCCCATAACAAATACAGCTACGACTCTGTCCCACTCTCCTTGGGTCAGTCTTTGAGGATTGTCAACCACACGGTAAGGCACTGTCATGCCCCCATCTTTGCGACGTTGTAAAAGTAATTCATTATCACGTTTTGATCCATTTTGTTTTCTTTCTTCAGTTGAAACAAATCTTTAGAAAAATGATTAATTGTTTAATTAGAAATATCACACTATTTATAATTTATCAATAATTAACAATTCTATTTTTGGGAACTGACAGAACTGTTTTCAAAAAATTATGAAGATTTAAAAAGCCACAAGAAAAGATACACCATGAGGATATTGGACTCGATGGAATTAAAGGCTAGGTATAGCTGAAAAATGTGCTACTAAATACATTTCAGAATACATTAAAAGCACAGTCCAGCACAATTGGTCAGAGAATAGCAAGGAGAATATATGTGTACACATAAAAACAAAAAAATAGCAATGGCCTTAAAATGGTATCATAAAATAAAATAATTACTTCAGTTCTTGTAAAATTTCTCGAGCATTATGCATTGATATTAATGAAGACTGTCCAGCAGGGATGACAATAATTGGAGTCCTTGATATTCTTTGTTTAGCTTGTTGAGAAGCAGTCAATTTAGCCTATATTTTATAACAATTAAAACTATTTGATTCAACATGCAGATATTATTCAATAGACATTTTATACTACAACATTATTAGGGTTAGCAACAATAAAGGTAATATACTGATGTACATCGATAATTTAACACAAAAAAATAATACTGAAGAATGCATAAACATTTTTTTTTTTTACAATTTTTTTTACATTTACAATATTGAGAATAAATTAATAAATGTATGATTGTTTATTGTGAAAATGTATAATGAGTTATATACTAATATGGGCTAAAGTGCACTTTACCACCCCATGCATATTTTTCGATTTTTTTTTTTTGGAACTTATGTAACTCATTGAGTTAAGAACGATGGTGCAATCAGAATTTGTCGTTCTCACTTAGTTTTGAAGTTATGGCCCTTGGAAGTAAGCAATTTTGCGTTTTTTTACGCATGAGCGCAACGCCTACGTGTCACGTTTTTCGCGATTTTTTTTTTCTTATTCGTGAGACTATTAAATAAAAAATAAACGAGTGAACAAACACGGGACTAAGAGAGGTCAACTTCACTAGAACGCAGCACTTGACGTAATGACATTTTAATTGTGTATTAAAATATAGTTTCTTTAATAATATAATATAATCTAAAATCGTATTTATAATTGAATGATTATTATAATTAATTATTATCAGGTAGGTAGGTACCTACTATAGGTATAATGCGAGAATTTATTTAAACAGATTGACTATTTCTACTTCCAGGAGAGGAATATTTTTTATTGTCCGAGCGAGCGAGTGACCCCGCTCGGTGACTCGGTGCAACAAATATGCAATTTTCTTAACCCTGTGACCAACTTGGGGAGGTGTTTCATAGCAAATCGAGGGATAAATTATTATTGCTCTATCGTTTTAAACAGGTTAGAATACGTAAGTACAAAAAAATAACAAAAATAGGGCAAAAATAGCAGCATTATAGAGTAGTGTTGCTCGCATGCGTATAGACGTAAAATTGAAAACTTTGGAAGGCCATAACTTCAAAACTAAGTGAGAGCGACAAATTCTGATTGCACCATCGTTCTTAACTCGATGAGCTACATAAGTTCCAAAAAAAAATCGAAAAATTTGCATGGGGTGGTAAAGTGCACTTGTACCCTAATATGACTAGTTACATAGTTAAATGTTTTTTATGTTTTATAGGCATTAATGAAGTTTTAACGCCAACCTAATAGTAAAATATAAGTACTATATACAAGAAATACTGTTGTGAGAGGAGGGTAACAATTATTATTTTCATTAGGTATTCAATTAGAATTCATGAAGTAAAGTTATAAACAATGCATTGAAAAGCGCTTCTATCTTTTTTTCTTAAAATGATAACTACTGATATAAATAAAACAACCCATTTTAGATAATGAATTATAATGAAGCGAGGAATGAAGTGCTTAAAAAATTTCAATTAGCCATAACTATCAATTGGAAATTGAGTCTAATAGGTATGTTGAAGAATTTTAAATTTTTGAAATAGGTTCAAGTGTTTCTTCTTTAACTTACAATTTGAGCAATTTTCAGTATCATATTTACCCCACTTTGTGTTTGTTCTGATAGTAAATAATTCAGAAATTCAACAAATATAATGAACATAATATTTTAAGACACAAAACCAATCAACTATTCTAATTACTAATAATATATTATATTTATTGGACTTATTTTAACTCACCAAAATTTCATTTTCCGTAAACTTTTAAAAACAATTTAAGAATATTAATATAAATTTATAATAAATAAATTTTAACTTCTATTGGTACCCACTTGTTAATTATTATAACAAGTAGTTAACTTACATGAGGACCAGCCCGAGAAGGTTGTTGAACAGGAGTGACAGTAGCTACTGGTTTTTTTGGAACTGTTCCTTCAGTCACAGATTTCAATGTCATACCATGGTATGTACCCATAGTATCAATTTTAAAGCCTTCAGTATCTAAACGTCAAAATGTTTAATTTTAATACAATTTTAAATAATTAACTAAATGAACGATACAATTAATATTCAAGAAATTGACTAACCTTCTCTTGATTTAATAAATCTTTCTTGATCATAACGATTATAAACAGTTGGCTGTGGTATAGTTGGTTTGGGAGGCACTACACGAGGTGTAGTTGACATAGTATGTGATGGACGTGACCTCCCATCTTCACGGTTTTTAATTGATTGAAGAATTGCAAAAATATTCTTTCCAAAAACCTTAAACATAAATTAATACATACATTTGTCTACAATCGTCTTTAAAATAATAAAAAAAAATACTGATGTAAAATAAATAATATTTTACTTATACTAAAATTAACAATATCTGTTAATTACTTTTCCATTGCTTTGCAAAATAGTAGTACGAGTTCTCCATTGTCTTTCACGCTTAATAATGTCTTTTGTTATATCTACATCAAAATCCAACATAACTCTAAGGTCTGGACCAAGACCTATATCGTCATGTCCTTTAATGGTAGTACGCTTTTTTGCCAAACGTTTGGCTTTGATTGCAGCAATCTTTTCAACAGACATGGCTTCCGAAAGAGATCTATTAAAAAAATATTTAAAATTTGCAATATTATAATTTATTAACATTTTTTATTTTTTTATTTTTAAAAATTATTTTATTTAATCAATTTAAAACTTGAATGAGAACTATACAGTATAATTGTAAAAAACCAATTTTATTTTTCTAAACCCAAAATATTGGTTATCATTATTTTTAATTATTGTATTAAATTGATGTAAGAAGTATATTTTCAGACTTAGTTATTCTATAATGGATATTTTTTTTAAACATTACATTCATGTTGTATAATATTTACTTGATATTATCAACATTGACAGCAGACTCTTTAGGTGCATCTAAACGTGCAGCCAACTGTTGTTTAACCCTTTGAACTTGTAATGTATCTTCCATACGAGGTTTTTTAGCAACTGATTCTTGTACATCTTCCACAGCACTTCGTTTAACCTGTTCAAATAATTTAACATACAAACCCAATTTAAACTAACAATAAAATTTAAAAAAGTATAAATTTAACCTGAGTTGGAATTTCAAGAGGAGCGCTGCGATCAATACTAGCAGATGTAGATAATTCGCCATTTAGGTAAGCTAGAAGTTCTCTTCGATCTGGTCTTCTTACAACTGGTATATTTTCAGCCTAAAATTATAATTCAGAACGATTTGATAAATTAAAATCAGATAGTTGTTAATCAAACAATATTAAATTACTTACAGCTGCTTGTCGCACATATACTGGATGAGTGAGAGTAACATTCTTTAATAGAAATAATAGACATTCCAATGTATAATACTCTTTTGGTGCACCATCTTTACCAGAACTATAACAGCATGTAAAAAATGAATAAGTACACTCATAAAGTAAATATATATTAATACAAGGATGATTATTGAGTGAACTTTGCGTTATACAATACTTGCATTAAGTCATAAACTGTTGTTTGTGTTGATAAAAGTATACAGATTGAATACTCGTTTACTTACCCATACATCAAGAAGTTTGTATTAACAGTTTTTGACCAAGATAAGTCACCAAATAATATGTGATTGTCCTTAATTATGATTTCTTTTTTGTTAATATTGTACGTTCTTAAGAAAGTTAGCGGGTCTGCCATTTTGAAACAAATTCACAACAAAATAGAAAATATGTTTAAAATTTTAAATAATAAAAAAGTTCACAAAAATATTATGTGTACGTACTACGTACATTGATTCTATTTAACTAAGCATTGTAAGCAATCTCATTTTATTAAAATGATTATAAGTATTTTATACCTAAACAAAAATACTAATGTGTTATCACTCATTTACATATCATCATAGACGGTGCAGTGTGGCAACCTTAGATCATGCAACAAGCATGAATGTTTTTATTATTAATTCTGAATTCTATAATCTATATACCTATATATTATATTATCTGTGATCCTAAGTTAGGGCGCTGATGTAGTCCTAAAATATTGTATGGAACACGCATGGTAAAAAAAGAAACGTGGGGCATTAACGACTTGGATGAAAAAAAGCGACCATTTTCATTTGTAGATAGCATATTAAGGGGCCTCACTACCAAGTCTTTTTTTTGTCAAAAACTACTGTTTCTAATTCCAACGATACGTGTCGACAATTATCACGATTTTCATTCTGAAAAGATATTCTGATTGTCCGTAATATATACAAGGGAACGATCGAGCCACATTTTTAATTTTTGTAATTTAAATTGCAATAAAAATTGTAAAAAAATCAAAAAAAAATACAGAATTTCCAACTTAAATATTTAATTAACTAAATACAATTTTAAAAATGTGCCTCGATCGATCCCTCGTACATGTTGTGGAAAATAAGAATATTTTGTCAGAATGAAAATTGAGGTAATCGTTGCGACGTACTGTTGGAATTAGAATCGTATGTTTAAGTGAAAAATAAGCATTTTTTCATGATCACAATATTATTATATATTGACATGTGTGTGCGAGTGCGTGCGAGAGCTATAATTGACCCGCATGGACGCCACACACACTAATAATCATTTACGACTAACACATAGATCTCGGGTGGTGACGACGAGATTAGAAATTGCCTAAATGATTCTCCTTAAATCAATGCCATTGCGAGGCCCCTTAACCCAACATCACAGAAATATACCTACTATAGGTACTATATACTATATAATATTATAGTTTATATCTGTGCCCAACATAGAATTGATAGAATTATGGTAGATAAAATAGGTACTTAGGATATATAGCATATTATTAAACAAGTTCAGACGCTAGAACCTCCACTGAACAAGTACCTATCCACTATTTCACTATACTATTGTCTATTTGTCAGTTGTCTATATAATATTATAATATACAATAATACCTACCTCATAAAGTATGATTTATATTTAAGCTCGTGATCCATAAATAATGTTTAAAACGTATAATGCTTAACAAAATTAAAAGCTATATAATTTAACTCAAAATATAAAATAACATATTATTATGAAACATTTTTAATACCTACTTTTTACATGCATGAAAAGTAATTTAGACCTCAATACACACTTCGGCTCTGGACTCCGATGACTACGATACAGTCACATACTCACATAGTATAATGGAACATAATATTTAACACATTTGTGAGTGTTATTATTTGTGTTTCCTGGTCAGGTGGCACTCCTGGGAGCCTTCCTATTAATGTTACTATTTTTATGTCAAATGTTATTATGTCACCACACTTACTCATTATACCTTCTTTTGTATAAATTGTAAATATACTTTTTTTAAATAAAAAAAAAAAAGTGTTTAGTAGACAATAAAACATAACTATAACTGAAATGGATCATCCTAGTAATTTAAATACATTTAAGATTCTGATATCTACATATCTACCCTTGGATACGATATTTATACCTATAGGATCCTACACGATTCTCCCTTGATATCTTATATTTAACTGGTAGTTCCCCCGACCACGGTACAATATCATAGGGGACTGACCGTTTTCGCTCAGAATGATTTTTCGTATCTATACAATAATAATATTATATTATTGAATTCAAATTTAATACCATCTATTACAGTGACCCACTTGTAACCTACTGCACAGCAGAACGACACCCACTTGCCCGCCTTTTTTTTGTTGAAAATCAAAGATTTCAAAACTAAAAACTATGGCATCCAAAAAAATTGGGCCAATTGTTGTAGGCAAAACTTCATAGGTAAATAAAAATAAGAACGACCCCTACTCCATATTTTGATTGCACCACCGTTCTCAGCGTCAACAACTACATAGGTATGAATAAAAAAAATAAGTTTTAAAAAAAGGTGTTCCATAAGGAAGACCTAATCTATATATTTATAATAATAACACAATGCCATGATGACTGATAAGTGATGAGGGATGCTGCATTTCTGCATATGACCTACCTATCTATAATAATTGACTGTTATAATTTATAGGTCTTCATTAAAAGGTTTTTGTTTACAGTTTTAAACATGTAAAAAACCCATCTTTAAAAATCGTTTAAAACGTGTTTATACTAGTGATTGACGTTGAGGTTGTCTATATAGAGCTAAACACACGTGGTACGATGATCGAGCAAAATTATGAGAGAGATCAACGAGAAAAATAATCCTCATTGTCTTATAATATATAACGTATACTGGTATATTATATGATATTAGGTATACAGGGTATACTTGAATCTCACACCTGAGTGCAGCCGCTGTGATGGTGCATATAAAATTTTACTGTTCTCCTAGGAGAAGTCAGAAGACTAGCTAGTCCCGAGGTTCCTATAATATCTATTAGCTAGTGGCTTCTGGAGCGGAACGAGCGTGTTGAACACGGCACGATAGTCGTGAAAAAATGCGAAGGGAAAACGAGAAAAAAACCCTCATCCGGCTTATTGCCGATTTTGGGCATAGCAAAAAGTTTAAATAAATCGTAAATTATGCGACGGCCACTATTGGTCAACATGTGCTGAGAACCGGAAGAATGAATAGATGCCATTGCGCAGCAAGCTTTGTTATCCAAAAAACAACAGCCTCGTGGAAACACATTCATACATTATACACCATAATTATATAAGAGCGGAGAGGAGCGGAAGACTTCCTTAAAGTCCTCATATACTCTTACGTAATAACAGTAATAGTCCTTCATGACTCAAGTGCACCCTCTGCGGCTGAGAGTTCAATGCACCGTATAACCCGCGACTATCGACACGATTCGAAGATATTGATAATATAATATGATAGGACGAGGCTCATAATAGCAAGAACGAATTTACTCATAAAATTAAAATAAACTGTTCCACTTCTAAAGAATAATATATATTAATATATTATTATAATATTATTTAAAAAACAATTAAATCCAAACTTAAAAAAATGGTCCGATACATGTATAATAATATGTTCAGTGTTCACATACTATCTGTTTGAGCAACGCATACTATGCATTTAAAATATCAATTTAAATAATCTGCAGAGAAGCATAATAACAAAATATTATCAGTAACTATTATTTGTAACGTGGGTTATACATTTAAACGGCAGTGTTTTGGCACTATTACCATAATATATTACTGATGAGCATCCTTTTCAGATATATATTTTATTATTATTAACTTTGCCAAACCATGGTTGCAAAATGTTAATAGTTAATGTAATATATAAATACAATAATTAAATGTACAAACATAATATGTTATAATATTATAATGAACATAGGCACATCACACATAGCAATTACTCGATGTGGAATACGCATGTTATCTGATTACGAAATTTCAAGAACTAACTACGAGCGTTAAACGTTCACGTGTAATAAAATTGCATATACATCGCGCCGTTGTAAATAAATTGTTATTATTGAATACCTATTAGCATAAAGTATATGCGTTAATATTAAATATCTTAGTATAATATGTTAATATTTTATAATCTACACATAGATTTGATAAATTCGTAGATAATTTCATTGTAAAGTAATGGATTTCATTATAAAAAAAAAAATGTGTAAAAGAGTATCAATGGAATACGTATTTAGTTTAATCACGATTTTAATTAAATCTTTTTTATTTTACAAACTATATAGTGAAATATATTACATTTACTCCGAAACTGCAATAATTGAAAAACATAAAATAATAATTTTTCTTTACAATGATATGTATATTATTACTAGGTATTCAATTATATGCTTGTATTATGCGGTTATGCCCAATGAATTGGCATGTTATCATAAACGTTAATTATTCCGATGGTAATTGTATGACTTTAATTGTTGTTAACCATTAATTATTTTTTGGATTGTTGATGTCAAAATTATAGCACTTGGTAATAATAAAAAATTACTCACTTGTAAGACGGAGACAACACATGCCTCACGTCCTCTTAAATATACAAATAATAAAATTATAAATATTTATTTAATTAGATTTATATTATTATTCTATTAAACCTATTGATAGGTAACTTATAGGATAAGTAAATAAATTAATGTTTTACTATCTTTAATGTTGTTATTTAATTTGGTAAATTGAAATGTTTCATGTTCTTTGTTTATCATCATGATATCATTATTCATTACTAACCCTTACATGTTTTGTTCCGAAAAAATATTTTGTTGATGGTCTATCGTCCATAAATATTAAATATATAGGTAACCATAATTTTTTTAATATTATAAAGTCGGCAAATTTAATCAGTTGCCCCACCCTTTCAGAATCTGAAATGACGTCCCTGGTTTTCCTTCTTAACATGCATTTGCCTGAGTGCACCACGTTCGACGTTCCCTTATTCCAATTATGATTTTATTCATTTAACTTTAATCTATTGTCGATCTTTTTACATAGATTTTTTAAACATACACATCCTGTACCATACTGCAGCCATCTGATTTTTTTTTTGCTTCTTAAAATGCGTTTACCTGAGGATGCCCATGTTCCCCTTTCAATTTTTTTTTTTTATTTTAACTAACCGTTTTATGTATATTTTTAAGCTTTGATCACTAGATGCCATCAGCATAATCTTTATTCTTTAATGAATTAATTACAGTCAATAATTGATTAGTTGTGTTCAGATATACTTGAACTTGACTGTAGAATACGTATACAATATCCTAACAATAACCTAACCTATCATACTCCGTTCTATGTTTGAATTATATTTATTTAAATTACTGCTAGGTTAGATTTCAGGATTACGTGATCCATCTCTCCTCTCTCCATTACCCATACAATAATGCCATTGCAATTATTTTTATTCAGTTAAGGACTTTTTAACTCTGGGCAGTGCCGGCGGTAGGGGAGGACAAATGGGACGTATGTCCAGGGCCCCGCGATTTTTAATTATCATCTTAATTAATTAAAGTTAACCGGAGTTTCATCGGAGATGGTACAACTGGCCCTAAGACTATAATTATTATTATTATTATCTTTATAGTTATTGTTTTTTCGGTTCTTTGTTTGGAAAAGCTTTCCGCGTATTGTCGTATGCCCGTATTATAAAAGGGGCAAGAGCTTTATTCTTAAAATATTTATTTGATTTCTAATATTATATGTTCGACATTTGAGTATTTGACTGCAATCCGCTTTGCCCCTTCCAGTATTTTTTCAACAATTTCTGCATAATATCATAAAAGTAAGTTTTCATTTTTTGAAATTATTATTACAATATAGTTCAGGTACAGTATAGCCGTTATTAAATAATATGTACCTACTGCGTACGTATCTAGTGTATCAGGATTAGTTTTAATGTATTTTATTGTCTACCGCCGCCGAGTACTTAGATATTAAACAATTTATTATATCATTCAAACATTTTTATAATTTTTTTTTTTTTTTATTGATGTTTTTATAAGTTGTAATTATTAAAATAAATATAAATTAATAAAATAATAAGTCCCCCACGAATTTACTAAATTATAATTTTCAACACATACATATTATTTCATTATTTGTAAATACTTTTTTGTTAACAAATTATAATAAAAAAAAGGATAAGAATAATCTGACATTATTATTTTTAATGTTTAAAATTCAAATAAAAACAGCATTAATTTTAAAAAATCCTGATTTAAAAAAAAATAGAATTTTGCCCTCCTCTGGGTAGCTATCACCTAAGTCCAGGGCCCCGAAATACCTAGCGCCGGCACTGACTCTGGGTGATTACTGATTTGAACTATAAGTAGAACATATTGTAACTGGAAGACTTCGATTATGAATTTCATGTTAAATATTTTTTTATTTTTTTTTTTAATACTATAGGTACTATTATATATTTATATCTTATTATACGTTTGTCACGCTAAAATACATAGGCGAAGATTATCGTAACCCTGTGTTCAAAGTTATTTCGTTAATTTAAAATGTATACAATGTGTCCCGGGGTGAAGTGACCGGCCGACGTCAGATGAAAGTATACTGAAAATGATTATAATGGGAAGTCCTAACTTAAGGCCTGTAGGTTTAAGAGGACGTTCCACCAGCATGTGTCTCTCCGTCTTACAAATGACGTACAACATATTCCAAGCTATAGTTTAGATTAGAAACAATTAATAAATTATGTTCCATCAATCAATAGCAAAAGTTGGTGATATTGAGTGGTACCACTAGTATGGTACATAAACAACAAATCTATATTGTATTAACATTTTAAAACACATAACTTCTATGTAAATATTATAGTACTGATGAAGTATATATGAATCAACTTGTTACTATTATTCATTTGAACACCTTCATCAAAACAAATAAATAAAAATAAGAATATAATAATTTAATAATTTTTCATGTACTTCCAAAATATAAAAAACAACATAGTATTTAACAATATGTAAAAAAATGGAAATATAAGTCATGACTGTACATAAAAAAGAAAATATTTATATAATATATTGTACAGAAATAGTCATACTTAAATCAACCACATAAAATATCTAATCAGTCTAAAATAAATCAAAATTATGATTAGTTTTTAATACTTAACATAATAAGTATAACAACTTTAAACTAAAAATTATTAAAAAGTGTTAAACTAAAACAAAATAGTAAATATTTTCAATATAATCTACTTCGGTTTGTGGTGATTAGTTTGTTCTGAAAAAATTATATTTCATTAGTTAAATAAACATAAAAAAATTATATTTGTTAGTGCTTATATAATAAATAATAATATATTAGATATCTATAAATAATAATGCGACAACATTATATAATTTATAATTATCTCATAGTATTTAGAAATAAGTTATTTAAAATGTTTAGATTTTAATAGGGGAAACAACCAGATTTTGGAAATCAAGAAACTAACAGTAACTCTTAAAATTAACATTGGATTTAACCAGTGTTGGCACTCATTTTTGGTTATAGAAGTGAAAACAGGTTTTTAAGATTTGGTTTGGGTCAAGTTTATGATGTAAGAAAACAAAAACCCAAGATTTAATTATAACAGATTTCCAAAATTTGGCTTGAAAATTTAAACCTTGATTTTAGGTTATTTTTTTGAGTGATTTATAACCACGGACCAAGATATAATGAACTGGAAACGACAGGGTTGGCGGGGATCAGGGGACGGCAACGAAAAGGTGTCACTTAGCTGATAAGAACACTGTTCTTGAAGTTTTCAGCGCTACCAGTGGTTTTATTTGGCAACACAATTTGTGTCTTTGTCCGTGTTTTATACAGATGGTGTTGTGAACTCCAGGAACACATAGCGACCCCTCGCACTTTGCCTCTTGTACATACATTTGTGGCCGTGATAAGCTGCTCGTTTCCAGTCCATTATATCTTAGTCCTTGTTTATAACTGATGTTATAATTTAAAATCATTCATACCACTGGGTTTTCTTTTATAGATTTCTCCGAACCGTGACATATACTTTCTGATATATTCGGCAACTTTATCTTTTGTACTGTCACTTATTTTTAATTTGTCCACTTTTTTTAATTGTAACTCTTTTAACAACACATTTTCATTAATCTGAAAAAATATTAAAGTGTTTCCATAAATAACATTAAAATCAATATTTTTTAGTTACTTTTTTGGCAAGATATTTAAAATCTTCATCGCTTCTTATACGTCCTTGTTGACAGGTCTTTTTAGCATATGATCCTAAAGTCTTTACTATAACAGTAGCCATTGAATGATAATAGTCAATTATTTTCTTCATTTCTTTTCTGTTATCAGGAATAAGTTTTAATACATCCACTGATAAAGACATCATACTGATAGGTATCTTATGATTTCTTTGACTACGTAATTGCTCTAATTCAGATGACTTGTCTCGTAAGCTAATGCGCCTATTTCTTGATGCTTTGAATTTCGCAACAATAGGTGTAATGATTTGATCATTAGTTGTGTCGATACCAGGAATTTGAGAATTATCACCACCTTGAATAGCAGAAGTTGAAGGCTGAAAAATATATTTAGGTTCATTTCGTATTTTAAATGGATAACACTTCATAAGAGGCTTTTGTTTGACAATATTTTGATTCAAATTAATTGGTCTTACTTCTGAGTGTGGCAAATTTGGTGATGTCTCACCTTCTATCCAGAATGTAACTCTTTTTTCTTTAGGTCTTTTTAAATAGTCGTTCACATTCATACTACTTTGTCTCTTTAATGCTGATTTTGTTGTATTGACAAGACAATTTTTCAATGCTAAACGATGTATACTACCCTTACGCATTATATTACGTTTTGTAGCTGGTATTTCATCACGGTTTCTTTTTAAACCTTTCAGTTTAATTCCCAATTGTCGTTTCATAACAGCTACAAAACCATTTTTAGTTTTTACATGACCAACTATTTTTTTTAAAACTTTTGGTTTCATATTCTTATACAATTCAATTTCTTTGTCGGTTTCATGATATGTGATTACATTTGAGTTGAGATTTTTTGAAACAAATTTTTTTGGTACTGAGTTTTCATTTTCAGGTTCTGACACATTTTTTAACAAAGAATTAAATATGGCAATTGCAAATTTATTATTTTTAGATACTTGAATAGTTTTAGGAGTCGGCAACAGATCTTCACTTAATGTGTTAGAAGTCACACCAGTTTCTTCATTGATGAAAACAATTTTTTTATTTTCGTCGCAAATAGATTTCAACTTTATATCAGACAAAGGTACCTTTTCAAGTTTTGTATTATAATTTTTTTGTTTCAAGTTCTTAATTGTAATTAATTTTGATGGCTGGTTTTTAAATGAATTACTAATAACTTTAATTCTTGCTAATAAATCTGCACCAGATTGTACAACTCTTGTACAAGATTTCTTGGAATGTTCCATTTCTTTATCAACAACTTTCATTTTTTCAGGATTATAATGCTTGCGTAAACTGTCATTGATCAAATTAAAGACATTAGTTTCAGCTAATTTAAGCAGATGTTTTGTTGGAGATAGAACATTTGATTCAATATTTTGATTAACATGTTTATTGTTTGATGTAGCCATATTTTGCAGTTGTGTTTCCAATGGTTGACTAGATGTCAGTGGTGAAGGAGTATAATACAATGTTGGTTGATTAACTACATTACAGTCAGAGAAAACTTGAGGCTGTGTATAAGAATACTGTGGACATTGAATGAATGCTTGTTGTACTGCTTGTGGTGACATGTAATTCTTCAAACAAGGATTCTGTCCACCATAATTGATTATTGAATCTGAAACGGAACATTTTAATAATATTAATGAACATATTAATGCATAAATAAGCTAAATATAAAACACATATTATATGCACATACAAATACATGTCTGTATTCCATAAGGATTCAATGATTTGTTAATATAGTATATGGTATGTATAATATACAATGGCATTTTCAAGAATTTTCAATGGTGTGTAGTGGGTTGTGAAACATATGTAGAGGAACTATCAGTACACAAAAAAAAAAACAGGAGCGTATAAAGACGGTCAATGGGGGTACGGAGGTTAAGCACCATGACCCCCTTCTTTCCACCATGAGTATGCCCATGCTAATATACCATAAACTGTTAAGTACAGCGATGGGTGGAATTTTAATCTAATTGGTTGATATCAATAATTTTTTAATGAGGAATGTTTTCATATGGTTCTGTACTTATTATTCTTAGAATTAAAAGTTGAAAATATTTAGAAATATTTGTTATATTTGTCATTCGACAATAATTTTATTTATTATAGAAATTTAAATAAAATATTCAAGTTAGTAATATATTTATATTACTTTGATCAACAAGTGTTGCTTGTGAAGTAGAATCCCATCTTATTTTTTCACTAATTCCATTATTATTGTTTAATGTTGAAGTAAGGAAATTTATTGTTTGATGATGCTGTAAGTAATTTTTATCCGGTTTCTTTTTTACTACTCCGTCAACACTTTCATACCAATCATCCATCGGCTTTTTCCTGAACCTAAATTTGAAAAAATTAGTTATGTCGAAAAAAATGTTGTTATCAAAATATATTTTACATTTTTTGGCGTTCTTTATCCACTTTAAATTGATATTCTTTTCTCAATTTCATACGATCTAAAGATGTAGCGTGTTGATTCCGTACTTTATTTACATATTTATTTGCATATCTAAACCTAGTATTACAAACATTATATTTTAAAACAAAATTATTTTATTTATTCTATATAATTATTACTTACATTTTTCGATCGAAAGTGTCCATAGGAGGTTGATAACAATCGTCTATAAGTTTACATGAATTTATATCTGTAGTTGGTTTATGTTGATCAATTTTTTTTGGAATTTTAAACACCATTTTCAATACAATCCACTTTTTCCACAAAACTCTAGATTTTTCTACCAGACTATTTTTTATTTCATTATCATTTGGCAATAAGCTATCAATTTCTCGACAATGATTTTCAATTTCTGCAGCAGGGTACTCTAAACTAAAATTTTTTTAAATAAATGTATTATTCCGATTCAACAAAAGGCAGTTCAATTAATAGTTAAGTTGATAACAATTTATTGTTCTTCTGATATTTATTTTTGAGTTAAAGTAGAGCTATTACAAAATTGTTTTATTTTCAGGTATAATGTTTTGAAATTATACATATAATCATATTATACTTTAATAGTTATTCAATCAAATCAATTAAAAAAGTAGTGGGGGACAGAGTGGCCGATCGGATTAAGGTGTTGGTTCAAAACCTCGGTTCAAAACCCCTTAGGGCTTAAGGCGGGTTTCCACTATACACGTTTGCCGTGTACACGAAAAATGTTCAGCTATGTCCAACAACACGGTATCATGGTTAACCGTGTGGCAACTGATCGTAAACAACCAATCACAGCAAATGATTTGTATGCACGTACTCGCATCCGTGTATAGTGGAAACCCGCCACACGGCGGCATTTTTCTTTGGGCAAGTCACAGTGTCTGGAGAGAAGTGCCACCATCCCCCACCCGGACATGGCAGATACCTAAGGGCGCCAACCAAAAAATCTGCCAAACTGTCTAAACTCGTTTAAACCTATAGTACCCTCCCACACAGTAAAAACCACCTAATGGCCTAAGTTGTCGAAGGGTCAATTAATAATGAAAAATGAAAAAGTAGTGACATTCTTTCTCTACAAATTAAAGGCAAAACTATGGATAATATTTTTAGAAATTAGGTTCATTCATCACTGGAAGACCACCGGGGTCCAGGACTACATCATGTTTTATACTGACGGATCTAAAACTGAGGTCTTTGGAACTTTATAATAATACAAAATCAGATTTCTCTCCTTAATTGAAATAATTAAAACGTAACGTTGATATGGATCCTTAGCGATGTTGGAATTCTTGGCAGTGACACAGCTGACATGTACACAAAAAGAGCCATAAATTAACCTGAAGCCACTTTAGCCCAAATATGTTATTTAAATGACATCAAGAGAATCATAAGGTACCTGACATTACAACAGTGGCAAGACATACAAAACTCAATAAACCATTGTTCAACATCCTTCACTAACAGACGCCACAATATCATAATCAACAGGCTAAGAATAGGACATACTTGGCTAACTAACGGCTATCTTATAAGACTGGAAGAACCGAATCAATTCTCAACTTGTGGGGTAGTTCTAACAGTTACACATATCATACTTCACTGTTGTAACTATGCAGCTACCAGAACTAGTTTAAATATACCTGAAACCTGAACACCTATACAAAACTGTCTTCTACTCTATTTATTATTTTTCATTATTTTTCATCTTCTTGCATATACTTAACACATTTTATATTGTAAGATTCACACTGTCAATGTAAATGTATATATTAGAGTTTTTTTATATTAAGAGCCTATAATAATAGTAGTTGGCTCAAAAAAGAAATCTTATTTATTTTTTCATATTTACAGATAATTAATGCATTTCTTATACTATGTAGAAAATATACAAAACGACAGTCAATAGTACAACATAAATCAAAATATACCACAAATATTGCAGACTGTCTTTATAACCATACATATTGGCAAATTTCACTAAGTATTTAAATTAATTGCATATTAAACTATGAGGTGATATTAAAATAATCACATATTTGATATGATCCGAGCATTTCAAAAATTCTAAATATTTAATTGTGACATAATAAGCAATTTAAAATATTTTTTTGCCCTATAAAAAATGCAAGATATGATTTGAAATTTATGAAAACTTTACTGATATTAATCAATTCTCTCAAGAGTTCTCAAATATTTAGAGACATCAAAAAGTTTTCCATATAATTTACTTAGTTCAAAGAATTTTAGGAAACCATGAAGTTAATTATTTATCCAGATTCCAGACATCTTGTTATTTGAAAAGTTAACTTGAAAATGTTTAAATAGCTTAATATTTGAAATGCATCTTGTAGATATTCATTTGAGTACTATAAAAAACAAATATTTGCTTTACAAAGAGGCAAATTGAAAAACTTTAAGCTATCAGTTTGGATGAAAATACAGAAAACAATGGAAAGACAGAGTGGAATACTATTCGAGAAAATTATTTTACTTTAAATGGCAGTTTTATAAATATTTTTATCGATTTCTCCTTGCAAGTCACTCTTGTTGAAAATTAATTATATTAAATCTGAGTTACAAAATTAACCAAACGGAAGAATGCAGTACCACTTTATGTAAAGTTACTAATAAAAATGAATTTATAACAAGTGTGCAACAGACAAAATTGCATGAATGATTTATTTAAGTGTTACAGTTTATTTGTTGGTTAACTGTATGAATATAAATACCTACTTTCAATATTCATCATAATTTAATGGCATGCAGGGAATAAAAATAAAATGCAGTTAATTTTTGGCATTTAACAACATTTGCAATCCCTATCCTATACTAAGATAAGAGAAACTATAAACATATAAAATGAACAATATAATAAGATGTTTTAGAACGGACTATACTCTTTTCAAAATGAGAACACTCAGGGTGGAATATGAAAAACGGTAAAAACTCGCACAAATTCCCTCTCACTTATGACAGTTTCAGCCGCAATTACTAATTTTGTGGTAGGGGCGTCTTGTTCCACCTCTGATAATGATGCACAATGCGGTACATTCTCATTTGAAAAAGAGTAAAGTTTCTACTTGAAGTAATCGGTCTATCCAATAAATGTAAAAAAAATATCATAACAAATAAATACATTTCTCACATCATATTCTAATAAGTGAAATATTATGGAATGCAAGAAAAAATCCTCCCAAATTAATTAAAATATTTAATTTTTGAAACCTTTCGATTTTAATTTTGACGTCTTGTGGTATTTTTGCCCATTCAGCAACAACATCTAGTACTTTAGATTTAGTAATTGTATTTCTATTTGTTATTGGTAATTCAGCTAAGATTTCTAAGATCTGCAAGTTTTTAAAACAATTTGAAATTAGAAAAATATTTATAATTATTAGATTAAGTAAATTTACCATTAATTTAAATGATTCATTTTCATTTGAAGTCATCCAGTTATGAATAATACTAAGTCCACTGAAATCCATAAATAGTCTTTTGTTCATATCATGTTCTCTTATAAATGTTAAAACATGTAATCGACTGACGCTGTCTGTAATGTGTACCATAAGTCTATTCAAATTCAATGTTGCCATTTCTTGATCAGCTTTTAATCCAGTTTTTAATTTAGCAATTTCTGTTAATTGTCTGCCCAACTATTACAAATTTAATTAATATACATATTACTAAAACAAAAAACATTAATGCAGATACATTTAAATGTAAGGAAATTGCTAGTAGTATAATTGTGTCAGTTGGAAAATTGTATAGCCGTAGCAGCTGCTAGTGGCAAGTATTTGCAGATTTGGGTTTTAAATTTCTTATGGAAGTATGATAAATTAATAAATATTATTAACTCTTAATTACCCAGCTTTTTAGCTTAGCTCTTACAAGTTACCCTTAACTTTTTCAGTTCCTCAGATAATCTACAAGATGCGAGCATGTTTCTTGAATCTCAAATATTATGTAAAATCATATTTAAATAGTACCTTGTCAGAAAATTTATTAAAAACTTGTATGACTATTATTTATTATTAGACAATTTGTATTATTCATTATTGCTATGGACATCTTTTCTTTTTTTTTTTTTTTTCTAATAAGCTTTTAGTCGGTGACTATGACAGCTTAACAAATATTGAAATACTTATGGGGAGGAAGCTCACTTTGGCTTATTTTTGTCATATAAAATATAAACGATAAAGCAATGAAAGTATATTTACTACTATGTAATGTGGTCTGAGAAAGATTAAAAATGTATATCCCTCCGCACCTATTTTAAAAAAGCTGAGCACACCACTGGACAGTAAATCCATAAAAAAATTAGAATAGTTTTGTATGCTTAATAATAAATAATACCTCTCTCAATTTATTTTCATCATTATAAGCAGTCTTATTTTCCAAATTTCTTTTCTTTCTTTCTTTTTTCTCGGGTTTTGACACAAAAAAATTTTCATTAGCACTTTCGCTATCCTCAGAACTGTTCTGGTCAGCAATTTGAGATGATTTATTGATGTAACCACGACAATTTGATGAACCACAATAACAAATTTGAGCACCATCTCTGAAAATGTAAAGAATTTTTTAGAATAAATATAAATATATAAGATTTATATATATAATATATTTTACCCAAATATTTGAAAACTATAGTCAAATGTAATTTCTTCGCCTTTTTCAATATGCCGAGTGCTAAAGAAACCAATACGAGATTGACCCAATACATGCCACTAAAATCAAAATTTGTACTTTTAAACTGTAAAATTATCCATGGCAAAAATGTACTGTTTGTAGTAGGCGCAAATTATAAATGTATACATACATATCATGATCTAGTTCTAATCTTTGAAAATATAATAGCAAATACAAAAATTTAAGTTAAGTTACCAAAATAACAAACTCCACATAAATTTCAATGTGTAAAAGAGATTTAACTTATGTTTTAGTGTTGGGAATTTCTTCTTTTTTTTTACTATGTTTATAATATTTCTAAAAGTGGGGCTAAAGGAAAGTGGAATCATGGGTAATAAATATTTATTAATCTAACAAATGTACAAAATTAAGGAAAAATATTTCCACAAACAATACGTTCAAACATTATAATATCAGGGTTGAAATATTGGTTTGAGTTAAAAACTTACTTTTTCACCAACTGAATTTGGATCACAGCTATGGTTAATAAACCTAGTCACATTTCCTTTTGAAGTGGAATCGATAATTTCATCCGGATTTAATTGAACCATATAATTTAGATTTTTATATTCTTTTTTTGTTAGACGATTACACATTTCGTTAAAATCAATAACTTCACCAACATATTCACTAATTAAAACACCTCTATAAAAGATAAAATGTATATGTTATAGTGTTTATATTATAAAAAAATTAAATTCTATTAAGATAAAAAAATATTTATATTTATATACTTGGGAATATCTTCAACAGCACAAATTCCATAACCTTTATTGTCAGTTTTAATAATGTTAGTTTTCTTGAATTGTTTATTTTGAAATTGTTTATTAGTACAATATCTTTTAAGAGAACAACCCAAACCACTAAAAAAAATTATAAAACATAATAATATTTTATATATGTAAAGAAAAAATAAATTATGATTAATTGAATTATTACCATTCAACTTTAAGAAGTCGATTGAGACATCTATCATCACAACCTGTATTTCCTTCAATTATATCTTCTTTAGATAATGTACACTCACAATAATCGTTTATGTCCGCCGATATTGTTCTATGAACATAATATATCGTAATTTAAAAATAGTTATCAGATAGTTAAATACCAGAATGTGTTGTCTTCGTCTTACTAATGTAAAACATAGCTAATTATATGTTCAGAATAATAGATTTTACTCTGTTAATTTTCATGTTAGGGTAAATTGATCTATCATCAAATAACACTAGTATCTAGTGCAGGCTTCTCAAAATTCTTTTTTATATTTTTATTTTAAAGCAAGTTATGAGCATTTTAAAAGTTTTTAAATGGTCAGAACTTGTTTTAAAATTGATATATCAAAAAAACTACATAAGGCTCTCTTATCTTTGAATTTGATAATAGATCAATTTACTCTAATATAAACAATTATATATAGTTAAGAGGATTATTTTGAATGTTAATTTGCTATAATGAGTGTTTGTAAGATGGAGACAATGCATAATGGTATACACATCCTCTATAATAATAACTTAATAAATAAAAATAAATTGAGTTATTGTACCGTTGTTTCAGCTTACGTAACCCAGGAATTTCAGAAGGTGGATAAGATTTCAAAGTCTGCCTAAAAAATAAAAATAATATTAAGTTAAGTGATGAGTAAGGTATCTTTGTTTAAAATAAATGGATAAATTTCAATGAGATGATTCTAAGCAGGTCTTGGTTTACTTTAAAATCGTCAATATTTTTTTTGTAATCCATTTACTTTCCAAAATGTTTTTTTTTTGTTATTTTCAGAAAAATGCTGAGAAAATTAAAAAAATGATTGCCTTAAAACAGACCTACTATAAGGATTCAATATCTAATCTAGAGAAATGATATGTTTTAAGCATTTACATTATATATTATTGTACAACAAATAGTTTTTCTTACAACTTAACTCTTATCTACGATAAATTAATAAAATACCACTTTATATTACATTAAAAGGTAAAATGATATAATAGTCAAATGATTATATAAAGATAAAGTAAAAAGATAATCAATTAATAAAAACAAATATATCTGTATAAAATCCAATGATATTATAAAAATACCATTAAATAGATTTTATAATACTTTAATATGTTCACTGCGTAGAACGCCATTGGCATCATATAACATCATTCACATATGCTCAATGACTCAAATTGGCATTATATAACTAGTATTGTTCAATGTACTAAAACGTTAACACCATTATAATTATGATTAAACCATTTGCTTTTGGTCATATTATAAGAATGTATGTCGTACTTAGATAATATTCTACATTTTTAAGATTTCTTTTTTAATATAAACAAATATGACATGCAGCAAGTGTTTTTTAATTTTTAATGATAATTTAATTGTGTATTTCTTACCTATTAGGTCTGTATATATTTTCATCAACTAATGTAAAATTGGTAGCTTTTAACTTTTCATCAAATTCTATATCATTAATTCTTGCTTCAAGTAGTTGATTTTTGTGTTCTTTGTAAATTTCATCAGCTACTAGATTATAATTAACTTCTGGAACTTTCATATCATCAAGTATTTCTATATAATTATTTTTAGGTTTAATTCTTTTTGACTGTCGTCTTTTTTTTTTTGGAGATTTTTTTTCAGGTTTTTGTAATTTAAAACCATCAATCACAGAATCTTTTAATTGATTTAAACTATCATAACTTTTACAACGTTTAAATGAATAATAAGTTTTTTTCAATATAGAATCACAACTTTTGGAACGAATTTCTCTGAGTTTATAGTTAGGATTACATTTCAAATTTTTCGATTTAAATAAAAACGTTTTAGGTACCTCCAAATTAGTGTTTTGATATTTTTCATTGAAGTGGTTTACATCCATATTTAATTCATGGGATTGCTTAAGCTTATTTTCTGCAGATACTTCAATGTTTAGTATTTTTTTGCTCAAACCATCAAAATCTCTACAATTTAAATTGCAGACATTTATACAATATGATTGTTGGGAAGTATTTTTATTTGTTGTATTCTCTTTTTGAGTTAATTTTTTATCTTCACTTAATAGCATCTTATCTAAATTTAAATATTTGATATCATTAGAAAGATTATAATAGTTATCTTTTTCTAGTAACCTAATATTATCCTTTAATAAATCTTTTGTAAATGAGAATTTTAACTTCCATGGTACAGAGGCTCGACGAATAGGCTTTGTTGGTAATTTATCAATATTTTCACTTATATTACTAACACTCTTTGATTGAAAAATTGAAATAGTGTTCCAGTCCACTGAAGTATTTCTTTTAATATTAGATTCTTGTGAAATATTGTATTTAAATTTTTCTTCCTGATCATTTTCAGACGTAGTAGACAATTGTTTCTCTTTATATTCTTTTTCATTAAAAATTTTGGAAGTGATTTTTTGTTTTTTCCGATTTGATTGTCTATAGTTTGTTCTATTAGTACTAGTCCTACGAGATTTTCTTAATTCCAAAGAGTTAAATTCAGAACTATAATCTGTACTATCATTTGAATCACTTGATGAAACATCTGTAACAGTATCAGACATATCTAATGAAGACTGTGACTCTTCCATCAACATGTCTATCTGACAAGATTGTGTCCACCGAGATTTGACTTTTACAGGCTTTTGATAATCCACTGGAGGACTACTAGAAGACATTTTAAATTGAATTTATCTACGAATAAATGTATTATTTTGTTTTGTTTTTAAATTGGTTATTTGATTTTGTATTGAATCGTCCATCTGTCAAAAAAAAAATTTTTATATTTTACAAGATTAAATATAAATATATTATAAAAGAATAATAGTTAGGTTTTTTGTTGATTAAAAACGGTTGACTTTTCTATTATTTTAAAAAACCAAAAAAAATGTGGATACTGGCCACCCTATTTCAGGTTAAGAGTGAACAGGGTGGAGACTAAGCCGCCGAATTTCATTAAACCCCCCCAAGTGTTGTTATAGCTCATAATCGTCGGTGACTGTTTTTGATCAATGTCACACTGATAATTTTTGGTGCTACCGTAAATACGGCGGTGAGAGCTGTTTATGGGTGGGGATGCATGGACACACCAATTGAGAACCATGGACCATTCTGAAAACTTTGAATAAATTATGAGCCGATAATCATAGGCGTGACTAGACTTCATCCGCAGGGGCAGCCTAGCTAATAAGTTTGCTTTATATTTTTTTAAGCCCCAACCCTCCACAATGAAATATTTATATAATTTAAAAAAAGTCTAAATGATCTATTTACAATAATAATCTGCAGTAACTTCAGAAATATTATTCATCTACAGTCTTGGATTACACCTCCTAGCTACAAATCAAAAATAGTATAATAATATCAATAATACCTAAATGCGTACTATACAGTCGTCGTCTGTCTCAAGTCTTTATAGTAAGTTTTTCTGATTTCGGAAGTCAGGATATCAATCTTTGTAAGTAAATGGTAATTATAACGATACCCACAAAAAAATCAAGTTTTAAAAAAAAAAGAAATATTGTAACCCTTCTGACTTAAAACTGGGTTGACCGGCACCTTTCAAAAATTGCAGGGGCAGCCCAGACAGCCACCGTAGAGACGCCTATACCGGCAATAATCTGTTATAGTGCAGACTATATAGTTACACAACTACAACTTGGAGTTAGCTAATGAAAACCTCTTTGATTATTAGAACCTACGGACTCATATAACAGATTTGATCACTATTATACTATACAATTAAATTATGTACAAGGGAAATATCTATAATGATATTGTTCAATATATATATTTCAAACAAAAAAATAATAAGACCTATAATGCTATAACTATTTTTATAAGTTATTACTACTACCTAATATAGCAATAAAAACAATTAAACAGTACATGCAATTAATGTGGTTAAGCTATGGGTGACCTAAAGTTTAAAGGGTATGATCTGCTGAGGTTTTTCTATTTTTATTTTTATTGGTAGATTAAATATATGAATATTATATTCAAATGACTAATGTATGTGACACCTAACCTAATCGTAACTCTTAAGGTAAAATCTCATAAACATTTCATACAATTGTATTTGGTGTGATATCGAAACTTAGTTAACTCTAATAATAATATTGTAATGTAAATGAAGCAGATAAATTAAACACAAAATAGAATTTTATCTCACAATTAAAAGATGCATTTTATGTCCATATTGTGGGTATGAATGTGAACAACAATCGATAGAGGTTGATTCTGAAAGAAAACATAATATCACAATTAGTAAGTTAGGATTCTATCAGTTTATTTAAAGCAAAATTAGTCATATTACGTCATTAGTCTCATGGAAGTCGTTATTTTTCAATAATAAAAACGTTTCATACCTTTTGTTTAATAATATCAAAACAAATAATTATTTCAAACAGTTTTTACAATTTATATAATATAGTTAAAAAAGTTTTTCCTTCTACATCAAATGAATAATATTTAAAAAAAAAATTGGAATGTAAAAATTGTCTGGAGACTCATGGCAGGTAATTGAAGTTTTCAAAAAACCCTTGGAAGCCAAGTTGTTAAATTTATTTAGAATATTATAATAGTATTTTTAATAATATTCGTAAAAGGTATATTGCGTATCAATGATTGAAATGTAAAATTTATGTTTTATTCAAGAAGTAAGTAAAAAAGTGTGAAAATTTTGATCATAGCGCGACTAACTACGGGATAATAGAATATTACCAAATACTCACAAACAATTATGTCTAACGTAGTAACGTATCCACATCTTAGTGTAGGAGACATCAAATAAATAGAAATAATATAATACCACTAGATTAATCAACCATTTCCTTTTGAAATTCAGATGAACTACGAAAAATATGGGCAATAGTCAATAGGAAAAACCGAGAACGGCTTACTGTTAAACAGGAGAAGCTTCTATGCGACGCTCGACGCTATGCGATTTTGCGATCGCGGAAAAGAAAGAGGACGCTTATCAGTAATAATAGAAATGATTAATCATATTATTGTGGAAGACATGAAGAGTAGAATAAAGAGACCAAACTTCGCTTCTGATAACGTCCCGAAATGAGTCGCAAGATCAAAAAACCACAGGCTGCGCTGCGTACGCTAGGGTTTCTACTTGAACTGTGTTGGTGAAATCGGCCCTAAGGCTCTACGTATAATCTATGTGCCCTACTTAAACCCGTAGTAAAGGGATTATTCATGTTTTTTGGAAATATATGCATTATTTGGAACCATGACCCTCTTTAGATTTTATAGCTTGTACGATTACGCATTTTTTCATGACGACGTGTATAAGTGTATATTTCATAAACATGTTATTCAAGATACAAATTTGAGTGTAACGATGAATATATCGGTATAAAACAATCGTTCGAGAAAACACGTATATTATGTATGGTATATTGAATAGTATCGACCATTATAACATATTAGAATATTAAATAATTAACATACGTTTACACAATACAAGTAGATCCGTACTTAATATTTAAACCGGGTAATACTAATTCTAAAGCCGTGCTAACTGCTAATTACTAAAACCCGTGATGGGACGAGAGTACGAGACCGATTCCATTCCACAAGGTGATAAAAAAAACAGTGTGGCCTGAACGGGCCAAAATATTGTTATCCTTGTACACATAAAATACTTTATACTTAGGGCCGTTCTTACGACGTCCGGTTAAAGTTAACCGACACTTAACCGGAAGAATTCTGCCTAAAATCTGTTATCAGTCGGTTAGCGTTAACCGACACTTTACCGGACATTGTAAGAACGGCCCTAAGTACATTATTTAAATACATTATTCTGTATATTATTAAAAACGTAAATTAAATACCTACAACCTACCTAGAATATATTAACTTACTAGCCTGGGTACCGAAATTAGTAAAAACATTACATATTTGCCCAGCTATAATAGTCCATGCATCTGGTGGAATGCAGTTAAGCCCTTTAATAATATGGTATGTTTTGTAAAAAAATGTAATTTTCATTAAGATTTTCTTTTAAATTGTTTGCTCAGTATCATAAAAGTAGGTACCTATATTGTTTATACGTTTTTGGGTAGGTATTTAAGCGCTATACAATTTTAATTTTTAATGCTTGGTATTTAATAATATTTAATGGTAAAATAAAATTATAAACTGTAATTTATTTTTTCAATACATTTTTTGTCATCTTTTACTTGATGTAAAATCTATGACATTTATAGAACTCAAAGGTCAGGTTTTGTCAAAATTCGAACTTTAAAGGGTCTGTCAAACAGAAAGCGTTATTTTTACGTCAGTTGATTTTGTAATTTGTTACAACGCGGCGTTAATCACGCGCGTGAAAGCACCACGTGCCATTTACCGCTTTAACGAGCGTTATAAAGCGTTTTGTTTGACAGAGCCTTAAATGCATATGAAAATAATCTTACCTATAGAATTTCAATATTTTAAAAATTAAAAAAATTAAATTAAATTAATAAAATAGTTAAGTTACCTACCTACTTTACTCGTCACTCAAATAAAATTATAATGACATTTATTTATTCTTCAATCAATAAAGTTACTTAAAAAATAATGGATGTATTAAATTTGAATTCAAGAATATACAATCATTGTGGGCATACGAAAAACCATTCTGAGAGAAGATCGTCTATCATCCTATAATTTTTTATAAGTATATTTTAGGATTTTATTGAGATTAAAGTAATTTATATTAGGTACTATAAAAATGTATGAATCTACTGTATTACTAATGCCCAACTACTAATGCCTAGTAGATTCATACATTTTTTTTTCTTTTTATAGCTAAGGATTGATATTTGAAACAAGGTATCTAAAATTCTAAAGTTCATACTTTTACTTTAATCTAAAATATAAATTAACAGATTCTTTTTATTGATATTTTATATTCAAATTTGGACAAAATTAGAAGTGTAAACAAAGACTAACTTTTTTATTGTTATTTTGTTATAAAATTATAAAAATATTTTCGTAGATACTTTTGATGTATATCATTATATTTTATACACACAATGGCTTTTGCAAATGCAATTTTTTCGGTAAATAATAATTCTACCTACTGTATAAATATAATTTAATCCTTTGCTAAAAAAAAAATTGAATTTTTGATACATTTTAAACTAGAAAATAGTTTTCAATTTTTAAAGATTTTGACGAATTTTGTCAAAATTTTAACTTTAAATGCCCATAATAAAAAATCGTAGTATCGTACCTATTTATCTTTAATATTTTCAACTTCTATAATAACAACTTATAAAGAATCTTTTATTTTATTTTTAAAATTTTAGGTATAAAATAATAAATATAAAAGTTATATTAACTTTTAAATCAAAATAATTTTTAAATGAGTGAAAATGATTCCTCTACAAATGCAAATATAAAATTTTTGTGAAAATGTCATGTATCAGCTACGATCATTTGTTTTAGAGTTGCACCAAAAACCAAAATTTATTTTGCTAAACATCGGTTAAACATTTTTAGGTGAAAATTCCCGTTTTTCCTTAATTTTAGATTCTGAATGGAACGATGAATGTATTGATTGAACAATGATGTGGGTTTTTTGTGTCTGTCACCACCGTTCGGGGAAGTAAAACTACTTCGATTTTCTTCAACAGACAACAGTATCTTGTTCGATGGGAAAGTGATTCTAGTTGGTGCA